CCCCCCCCCCCCTCCCATCGCCTTGGGGAAGAAACGGCATGGGTGCGAGAACGACAGCCGCCCGACTTGGATCGTTTTCGAACAGGGCTGCCTTCGGTCTGAGTTACTTTTGTTTAACGCGGCACGGAGGATGGAGTGTGTCGTTGCCGCCGCCGCCGGCTGCGGTGCAAGCCGCCGCAGCAGCGTGCTGTGCGACCTTGTTTTTTTCCCTCTGCAGACCTCTAGTGAGAGATGATGCGGCCCGGCCCCCCGACATTTGTTTTGTCAAAAGCAATCGTGCTTGCTTGCTATGGCGGGAGGGACGCACTGCTTTGCTCGCGGCAGGCGGGGGGAGCTGGGGTGGTGGTGTGATGCCGCGTTGTATCTACGCCACAGGCACATTATGATGATGATTCGATAGGAGCCGCGGTTCTAAGCGTGTTCGTGTGTTGTCCCCAGGCAACGCGCCGGCGCCGGAGGGTGAGAGAGCTGCTGGTTTTCTAGGTGGTTTCGAGACGTTGGTCCAGGGGAGGGGGGGGGNGGGGGGGGGGGGGGGGGGGGGGGGGGGGGGGGGGGGGGGGGGGGGTACGTACATACGCCTCAGGTAGTCTTTATTTGATTTGCACCATAGTCTAAGCCAGACTAAAGCGTGACGGCGTATATCGCTCCCGGGCTGCTGTATCTCGCACGTCGCGGCGCTGGCCTACCTAAAGCCGTTTGCTGTGTGCCTCAACCACTTCAACTTGCGCATGTGCAGTTTGCAGTGACTTGCTATTGTATTTCCTATGGTTGCTGGGATTGGTTACCATGTTCCGTTGTTTTTTTGTTTTTTTGGCAGTGAGGGCGACGTGGACGGGGTGCTCGACCGGGTGGTACCCTTCCTGTTGTTGGTCGTACGGTTGGTGTTGGTGGTGATGTTTGCTGCCCCGTCTACCGTGTAGCGATGCCGGCGCGGCGGGGTGGGCGGCTGGAGAAGGAAGGGTCAGTTTGGGCGGCCTCAGAGAGCCGTCGTTCGATGGGACCGTAAGGACAAGCATCTTGCAGCGGGAATACCGACGGTAAACACCGTAACAATCATACAACACTAGACTACGTTCGGGGCTCACGTTGAGAGAAGGCTTACTGTTATTGTTGAGGAGAGGCGTGTCGCCTCGACTGGACCGGGGCGGGCCAGGGCGGGCCGGGGCCGGCGGTGTTTTGCTTGCCCCCAGCAGGAAGTTGGCCGCGACGCTGAAACGTGGGGGCAAGGGTTTTCCCCTACCTGTCTCTCCGCGCGTCATCTGGCAGGGCCCGATAATACAGGTGGGGTAGGTTACGTGGGGGTTGCTGGTTTGACAGATGTAGCAGTACCACATGGATGGTACTGTACGATGGAGTCGGGGGAGGTCGTTTTCTTTTCCCTTTGGTCCGGGTTGCGTACCCCCCTTCCCTCTTTCCTGCATGGGTAGCACTATGTTCTCATCTGTCTTGCCCCGAGTATTTTGCGCGGGGGGAGGCGAGCGCGTACACCGTCGATAGTGGTCAGAATTTTAGCCCTATTTAGTTTTTTGGGCCCTGTCATATGTTGTTGCACCGCGTGATCGGGTCGAGGGGTTCGTCCCATCTACCCTGGTGGCTAGTTTTTCACGTTCCGTGGTCGTTCCGTTCCGTTCCGTTCCGTGTTTTTTATTAATGTGCCAGGTCTGGCCGGTTTGTCGTGTTGTTGATGGTGGTGGGTGGTGGTGGTTAGGGCTTGTAGTAAAGACCGATGCCATACACGGTCAAGGTGCCGACAAGACGAGACCGGGGTATGAAACAGCTGCACCCTTGCCATATGCAAACGTTATGTATGTGATGTGGTATTTTTTCTCGCCGTAGTCTGTTCGTGCCCCGTGTCCCGTGTCTTTCGTTGCTCAGTGACCGTACGTTAAAATAGGAGTCCGGGGAGAACGCATTTACCCGTTGTATTGGTTTGTAGTATCTTTTTCCTCTTTTTTTTTTTTTTTCACCCGTGTGAGACCCGCAGCGTGTTGTCACTGACCCCCGCGCGATGCGCTCGATAGATGAAATATGTAGCTATCGCCTGAAAAACAAAGAAAGAAATCTTCACGCACAAAAGTGCGCTCTCTCTGGCCCGTTCGGTGCGGCCTACTACTGCTGCTGCCGCGGTAAGCCGACTCAGCGAGCGTGTCTGTTGCAAGCAACGATGCACACGGACGGATGGAAGGGCCGGAGGACGATGAGAAGGCACGGGTGGAAATACGGTTTAAAGCCGTATGTATGCGTACATAGGACGTCGGCAATGACGTGCAGCGAGCTCTGCGTGGTAGATCGTATGCATATAGTCTAGAAGTCGAAGGAAATAAAAGTGCCGGGGCTCACGGACCCCACGACTAACTTTGATAGAAGCCGAAAAGTCAAAACCGTTAGACGAGTCTGATGGTTTGATTTCGGCTGCTATAATCACCACAATAATAGCGAGTGTGCTCTTTCGGTTGCCTGCTTGATTAACCCCCGTCTTTTTTCTTCCAGCCTCTTCGTCCTGGCTGAAGTGCCTGTCTCTCGTCTTCTTCCGTAGGACGTGCGTCATAACCTTTGTTTCTGGAGAAATGTAGCGGTACCTACCCGTGAACCCTTCGCTATGTGCTTGGAGTGGATTTGATTATCCGCTTCAATGTAAACGTCGTGGTGCGCGGTGTTAACCATTGGTATGGAATCAATCCCGATGATTCACGTGACGCGGCCAATCACCTTCCAAGTGCATAGACTGCATTGTAGGGGAGCTGTGCTATCCATCCATCAACCATCAACCAAGATTTTTGTCTTCAAGGAAGGAACGCGGAGCAATTTTTTCTCGTGTCTTTGGACAGGAGTCCGTCTCTGATGGGTCGAAAGCGAAGTAAGTGCCCTTCGCAGGGCAGCAGCCATCGAATTATGGCCAAGTGAGTTATTGCTACAGCAATATAATTACCAGCAGTGGTGGAAGTTCAACACGCCCTCTGATCGGTCAATTTTTTTAAAGGAGAGTGTACCTGAATTGCTAACTTACCACATAACCGCTTAACCCTTCCACAAAAGCATTCAATCGATAATCGGTTAATAAGCCAGGAGGGGAGGTAAAAGCTAGGCCGTGTGTTTATTCCATTCAATATTGAAGCACAGACCACGAAAAAAAAAAAAAAACAACCACCGATCTGTGTATATTGGTACTGCGGCGCTTGAAGCTCCTACTCGGTTCATGGTGGACCCCCCCCGCCCCCCTGAGTTGGCACTTAAGACCCATCAAAACACACCTACCTGCCATCTCTCGGGCAAAATTAACAACCAACCAACAGCTTTCAAGGGTCCTCGGAACACCTTCTACGGTACTCGTACATGACGCCGCTAGAGGCACGTGTCGAGACACAACCAACTTTTCCCGCCCGACATTACAACAACCTCACCAAAAGAGAATTACCGACATGAAACCGACCGCATTCGGTTAAGCAAGGCCACCCACGTTTGTTTGTTTTTATCATCAAAACCTAAGGTACGTTAGTCGCGCCTTGGTAGACACCGGAACTCTTCGCACATACTTATATATTATATCTTACACATAACACCCCCGTTTTCTGTTGATTGTTTTCTGTTCTATGGTTACAACACATGCTGCGTCCTCCCTGGCTTCTTCTCCTACGATACAATCAGCGCTCAACACTCCAGCCTCCCCCCTACCCCACCCTGCCCCGAAAAACTGGACCACAAGTCGGCAGGACCCGGACCAACTATGGACAAACTGTGCTAGGAACTGTGCTAGGAACGGTTCTAGGAACGGTGTTTGGAACGGCCCTGTTCCATCTAGACTATATATAAGATGCGTGGTCAACGGTCTAGAACAAAACGAGCCAGCGAGCAGCAGTCGAACATTACCGCCCCTCTTCTAACACCACACCTGACGACCAACAAAGTCGGATGCATAAGATAACGTCGAGGTAATGGTTCGAGTTTGGCAACCTGTGTAACGGTTTGAACTTGGCAGGGCGTGCACGCGCATGGCCTCAACACTACGATCGAACGAGCCCAATGTAAAACGGAGGACCCAAACCCATTCTCCCCGCAAAATTTACGCCGGTCCATCCTCAACCCGGACGACGGGCGTGAGCGTTGGTACGACGACGACAACAGGTGCTACTTTCGTCTTTATTCCCCGGCCTAGCTTCTGGCGGCAGGTACAAGAAGACGCCTAACTATCGCAACTGGTGTGCCTTTCGCTTCGCGCTGAACGCACGCAACGACCGAGTGTGCCATTTGTCGTGGACACGACGCACCCGCGTAAAACAGAACAAACTCTGGGGCCGGCACCACGAAACGCTTTCTTCGTCTTCCTACTGGCATGAAACAACAAACAAAGTGCAACCCAGACGGAGACACTTTGGGTCGACCGATAGCGTTGGTAAAACAGCTCTCAAATTCACGTCGGCAACATCTACCACCCGGTCCGCCCAGCCGCACCACCTACTGATCGGAAGCTGTGGCTTTGTTGTGGGGGAGCAGGCGAGGTATTCCCGGGCAAGTAGACATTGCTGAGGCGTGGGGGGGAACGACGGTGGAATAACCGCCCAACTCCCTTTTTTTTTCTTCCGAGGGAGCCATGACGCTAAATCCTCTCTCTGCTGCGACGCGTTTTTCATCCCCTGCCGTCCTTCCTTTCCGCCCCTTGTGCACGATCGATCACGCATCGATCACTACCACCACGACGACAACAACAACAACAACAACAACGACAACAACACCAGAATCAGCATCAGCATCAGCATCAGCATCAGCATCGCAGGGAGAAGACGGCAAACCCCCTCATGCACGTACGAAGAACTTGGTGATCTCACCAGCCACCCACAAACACATCAACCAACAAAAGGACCGCATCGACCCCCAAAGCCGACACACGTCAGAAGGGCAAGAGGAGGAGGCGAGGGCAGGCAGAAAACGTTTTAGGCGAGAGCTCCGTGCTCGTGCAATACCCCTCTCCAAGCCAGGTCGCACTTGGGCCCCTCCACTACGTCCGGGTGCTCCCGCTGCAGCTCCGTCAGGCCGTGGGCGTAGTCCGGTTCACACCGGTGGAAAGACACCTGGCGAGGGGAACAAACACACAAGGCAGTGTTTTTCACCGCACTGAGACTGGCGTATTCTCATGGCTCAGCCGGTGAGCGCGGTCGATGCTAATCACAAAAACACGCACTGATGTTTTTATTTTTAGCATGGGAGAACGAGCAGCAATGCCGCCTGATAGGATTGAGTCCTCTCCTTGTACTTGAGAAGCAGGACCGTCCTGTCTTCGAACTCCTAGGCCCCTCTTCCTGGTAGAACCCTGACCTTTTTCGATTATCAATGTTCGTGCTTTCTTATCCCGCTACATGTACAAAACTGATGATTGGTCAGCCGATTAGCGCGGTCGATACTAATAATAAACATGCACGCACGTGTAAATTATTCTTCGTCTGGTACGATTTCTGGTTCCACCCGGTGACCCCCCCGCCTCACAGCACCCCACATCATGACCGTTATTAGTCGCACTAAGAGGTACTCCGTACGTCTGTTCATTCGTCGAAACATGATAACGTGTTTAGTCGATGACACTATAACAACACGTACACACACCACGTGCGTGATGAATGCATCGCTGCGGTACACATGTGCGGCTGCACGGGCGACAAAGCCACAAAAAAAAACAAGATATATATCACTCACTCCCCGGCGGTGGAAACATAGCACCTCCGCTGTTGTGCGTACCACGCGCGCGAAGTTAGTGAGTAGCAACTAGGGGTCGATGCCGCCATCCATCTGACTTCTGAAATGCTGAGCAAGTTCGTGTCGTGGTCGCTTTTCTTCGAACGACCTTCTCATCGTCGGCTTGGAGCGAGGGACACACACACAGCGCCACATCTAAACAACCACACCGCACGAATACGTGGCATAGGTATGTACCTGTTCTGTCGAGGCGTCGTACCGGATGTCCACCATGAACGGCTCGCTCCAGCACCGACCGCCGCCGCCACCCCTACTACTGCTACTGCTGCCGCCATAGCCCCCTTGCCCTGGTCGTTCCCCCCCTCCTACCCTACCCTCCCCCGCTGGGGACCCTGTTTCTTCTGCGCCTTCGTCCGTTGCCGCGCACGTGGGGTTGAGCACGTGGTTGCGTATGGCGCCTGTGAGCCTTCGCATGGACACCTGTGAGGTTTGCAATTAACATAGACAAATGGGGGGGTAATTTGGTATTAGGCCAAGAAACGGGTACATTTACACGACCACAAAGTTACACCGTACGACTCTAATTGTTTTTATTCGAACAGAGCAAAAAAAGAGGCAGACAGCCCGTATGGTAAAAGGACGGGGCTAGACAAGTAGAATAGAGGGAACCAACAAATTAACAGTTGCTAGACGTCACAGGTACAACGGGCGGCGCGCGGGGGGGCAGCGAGCGTGCCGCGGTAAAAAAACAAGGCGCGCAGCAGCACACCCACAAAACAGAGTCTCATATGAAGGGGCTATCGCAGTGCACACTATTCACGCCGTGTTTCGCACCCCTGTCACCGTCGTCGGTGTCTGATTTCGGGAGTTTGGTGACCACGCCAACCGGCTGACAGATGAACATGACATGCACTTGTCTCCGTGGAAATTACAAAAAATCCCATCTATTCCGCGGGGTCCCGTGACGGGTGGGTTGGTAAGGTCAACGCGGAATAGTGGGCGGAAGAGTCCAGCATCCGGACAAGAGAGAAAGTAGACCAGCCGCAGCACCCAGCACCTGCGTTCTCCTACATCTAGATTTGTCTGAAGTGTCGATGCAACCACACTTGTAACAGCAGTGCTGTCGTGGGACACTCGGTTAAGGGTGACCCCCCCGCTTCTCCCTTACTTTCTCCACGTCTCTAGCCCCGTACGCCGCGAGCTGGTGCCGGATTATCTCTTCCCTTCCGTCGTTGGGCAGCGTCACGTGGTAACTCGAGTACTGGACGTACTGGGGCTGGACCAGGTGCCACCGCAGACCTGCCACAGCGACAACAACAAAGACAACGGTTAACACCGCAAGCAGGAAGAAGCAGCAACGACGTCAACAACAACAGTTCCAACAACAAATCAACAGCAGTCTTTTGGAAATATGTTTGTCAGCGTTAGAACGCTTTGGCGGTTGGCACGGTGGTAACAGGTCTACTAGGAACACGGGGGGTCATCTCGTTCAACCCGGCTACACGAGGCGACCATGCCCCCCTTTTCCCCTTGCAGAGTTTTTTTTTTACACATGGCACGATTCTTCAGTTTTCCCGGTCCCCATGGACACGCACACAACCACTGCGCCTAATGTGAGAGCCTGGTCCGGCGAGAACCCGGCGTGCTCCGTCCCTGCTTTGTAGGGATGCGAGGTCAATGGTCTGACGACTACGGCATGCACGGATACTGTACGAGTACATCCCCCAAGCATCACCCACCAGATGTCGTGTACAAGCCCCCGTCGAGGGTCTCGGCCAGCTTCTTGAGCTTGAGCTCTACGACGAGGAGGTTGCTGGTGGGGTCCATGGGAAGGTAAGGCACCACCTTGTCCACCATCTTGCCGAACCGTAACCTAAATAGGGAAAAAAAATGCACAGCACAAATGACGGAGAACACAGTCATCCAAGACCCACCGTCAAACGTCTTGCTCGAGCGCTGCATCACACGCGAAATGCACGCGGGGGTTATTAAGACGGGATTGGAAAGGGGTCAGGCTGAAGGAGGGCTGACTGCGCCATGAAAGCGCGGCGGAACCTTGATGCGCCAAGAATCGCGAACAAAACCCCAAGCTGGTGCATGCAGGTGACCACTCTTATTTTCGATGCGCCGCGATGATTTAGGAGCGTCTGCCGCCGAACGCACGGCGTCCTGCGTAACTCCCATCGACCCCGTACGAGGGGAAAGCGACCGACGCCCCGGACCGCCTTCGCAGGATTTGAAGACTATCTGGAAAAAGAAAGGGAGGGGGCACGCAGACCCTATCCCTAACTCTAACCCTAACCCCAAAGCACGGATTTAATACTTATCCCATATGGTTGCTTCATGAATTTTGCTGCGTAGACTACTGGACTCCCCGCGATCAAACAATCGGAGAAAGATCTTCCAGCACGTTTAGCTCTGCACCAGTGCTGCAGCATTTTCGGGTCTCCTCACTGCCACGCCCTGCCGTTAGTGGAACAAAAGACCCCCACCGACAATCACCCGGGCAAGGATGACAAGGGCAGAGCGGCGGCGAAAAGCAAAAACCGAACCCTCCTCTGTTTGTATCCTTGTCTGTCTCTGCCGCAATCTTACCGCTCCCACTGCTCGTCCAGGCTCCTCTTGACCGCCGATTGGAGAGCTCCCTGTTCCAATCAAAAAGTGGACACGACACAAGCCAAGCGCGACGGAACGAAACGCCCAGCAGTTACAATAGTCGTTTTTCCAAGGCCGGCGGCGGTGACGGCAAAAAAGCGATTCATCGGAGTGGGACAGGGGTAAAAGGACGCGAAAAGCATGACTCCGGGGTGAGGTTGCGGAGTAAGGGATAGCGGGCTGGAAGCGCTAGAGTGAAAGTGGGTGGGCGCGGCACTCGACACGAATTGTTGACACTGTTGACACGGGCAGCTGTGGATGTTTGCGAGGTTGGTACACGAGGGCACGAGGCTGGCTAAAGACGGACTTCAATGCAGGCGTTGTCCTTTATCTCTCACAACAAAAAAGAAGCCCAAAGAGCGTCCGACAAGACGAATCACTAGGAATGTCAACTTGTCGGTAGCACGTTAAGCAAGCGGAGGGGGGAGAGGGAGAGAGATACCGATGCCAATCTTCTGTTATTTTTTTTCGCGAAGAACAAGCAAGCAAGCAAGCAAGCAAGCAAGCAAAGGACAAGAAAACAGCAACGTCAACGTCGCCGCCACCCTCACCGGAACCACGTCGGAGCGTTTCCGGTACCTGAGCACCGCCGCGTTGACGCCCTCGGCCCCAACGTCCGACACGAGGAGGAAGACGACCCTGCTGCTGTCCACAGACACGCTCTGACCTCCCCGCTCGAAGGTCACTCGAGGATGCTCCGACATCGCCTCGGCTAGCGCTGGTGTCAGGATCGACGGTGAACACGATTGAACTACGATTATGATACGACGAGAACATAGTGAACATGATTGCTACGAGAATGCCAAGATTGGATGTAGCGCACCCCGAATGCAATAGACAATATTAACTCGGCAATGTCAGCGGGCGAAACAAGGCCATCAGGGGTTATTGCAGGATGCAAAAGATGAAAGTCACGAGACGAAGAACGAGCCCCTCTCTTTTAGAGATAGGGCGAGGGAGAGAATCTCATCAAAGGCAACCCGAAGCTGCTCAAGTACCGCAGTAACAGCAGTGTCGGAGGGTGGCAGACAGACTGAACGATAGCGCGCCTGCATCCAAGCACCGAAACACTTTCTTGTTACATACGGCAGCAGTACCGCCCATGCAAGAGAAGCTGTTCTCTCTTTCTCTCTCTCTCTCTCGTTCTGTCTGTCTCTCTGTCTCGCTCTGTCTCTCTAGCCCTACCGTCCAGCGTCCCCGGGGCGGCCTTCTGCAGCTCATCGAACAAGACGACCACGTTGCCGCCGCAGTACTCCAGCCGCTGACCAAGCTTCCTCCGTATCAGGCTCTGGTACTCCTCCACCTTCGATGCAACCATGTAGTCCGCCCCACTTCCATGCCACCAAGCATGCACGCACCATACCGCGACACAGCCGGCGAGGGAAGGATCAGGGAAAAGGGGCAAGACGAGGGCAAACAGCTCTTTAACATGCCTAGAGCGTCATACCCCACCGAGAACGAACACTTTCGTCGAAGGACAGCGGCAGGGTCTGGGACAATGAGGCAATGAGCCATTTGTCTGTGTGTGGGGGCGCGTGTTTTGAAACTAGCATCGACCGCGCTAGCCGTCTGACCAATGAAAAGACGTCAGTCTCATGGAGGGGGGAAAAACGTACACGCCAGTGCAGACAACAATGTCTGGCGTAAAGAAAATTTGGCCGGCGGGTCCGTAGCAGTTTCCGCTGCTTGGTCCCGCTTGTTTTTCTTAGCCTTTTTCTTTTGGCCTTTAGTGGGAGCCGGGGTGAACCCGTCCTCACTCGCGGCTCCAGGGGGAGGAGATTTAGACTCCTTCTCTTTCGGGCTGTTTTCTTTACGCCAGACATTGTTGTCTGCACTGGCGTGTACCCGCGAACAGATCTCTTCGTCGACGCCAATGAGAATATCCTTACTCCGTCATGAGTAAAGGTACCTGAAGTGGTGAATAAACGTTCACCAACCAAGGTCATTTCGCTCTTATTGCAATGTGGCAAGGAATAGCCAAGCGTGGCTACCGTAAGTCGGCCTTGCTAGGTTGAAAGGTGAGAGTGAGCCTCATGAGCCCGCTTCCACCCTCCGGCTGGTCACAGCAGACGGAGGGTCTTTTCATTGTACTCCGAGTAAAGATCTTCAGACTTCAAGAGCGTCGTTCCTAGGGTCACGGATCATTACGGTTGTATGTGCGTCCCTAGTACTGGGAAAATACCTAGATCCTGGTTTCCACATTACCTCGCTTTCTGATGAATCGATACGGTGTGTGTGTGTGAAACGGCGCCCTTGCACTCGAGAAAAGAAATGGAGTGATACGGTAGTGAGTTGGTCGATGAAGGGGCTTCATGGCAAAAAAAAAAAACAAGCACATGTTATGCTGGCCGGTGTAACATCGGCACGGGTGGTGTCATGGTGACGAGGTCGACCGTCACGTGAAATCGATTCGAGAGCACCGCGAACACGCCGAAAAACAGACCTTTTCCCCGCGACGAACATCTTGACACACCTTCGGAGAAGACAAGAGCGTGTAAACGCCGGGTAGACACTCGGCACACATCATACCCCCCCCAACACCGTCGGAATTCTGTGCACGCCTTGCAACTCCATACGGAATGGAAGGCGCGCACGCATCACACAGGGGTTCTCCTCGGTGTGAGCCCAGATCTGAGCTCCTCAGCATCGAAGGCGAGACCGTGTTTCCGGAGAGGCCGTGCCCCACGCCATGATTGAACGGAAACGCTGGAGAAAGACCTGAAGCAGGGGCCGTCGACTAGAGAGCGAGCGGCCTGTCATCCTTCGAGCCCACGCGGCGCACTCACTTGAGCACCAGGAGTCCCCTGGGGATGTCCCTCGTGCCGCCCGTGATGCGGCAGCGCTTGGTCAGCAAGGCGTCCGCCAGCACCCACGCCGTCTCCGTCTTCCCGGTGCCCGTCGACCCCGTCAGCGCCACCACCAGCGGCTCGTACCGGTCTGACTGCCGGCTACGAGCGTCTCATTCGCCGTCACCACAGTCGTCGTCATCGTCGTCGTCGTCGTCATTGGTGTTGTTGTTGGACAGCAGTGAGCATGGAAGACAACGGTCAAATGTCGCGAGAGAAGTTGCCTCGGTTTGGGACACACCGTTACCTTGTGCGACGGGGTTACTTACATACCGTGGTGGTCCTCGGCCTCGTCGATTTGTTTTTTTTCACCGAGCAGCGAGTACGCAAACAAGCAGCACGTGCGCGCGTGGGGCGCATTTGCCCAATGTGTGCGTGCGAGGTGCGATCACTTCCTGTACGCGGAACTGAAATAGGTGACCTTGTTTGGTGCTTGAAGAGTAGGAAGGGCCAGACATGTAAAACGGAAATCATATCACTCCGTACACATCAGACCGAGAAAACATGCTGAAAAATGAGAGAGAGAGGGAGAGAGGGAGGGAGAGAGAGAGGAGAGAGACAGAGAGAGAGAGAGAGAGAGAGAGAGAGAGAGAGAGAGAGAGAGAGAGAGAG